ACCCCTTAACTACCATCGTCAGACGGCCGGGACTACAGTTGCAGTAGGGGGGAACAGCAAACACACTAAGGTCGATCTCCCCATTCTCTTGTTCCCCGAAGTGGCTGCCTAGTCAGACACAAATGCAATACTGATAGAGGACGCTTAAGGTGTTTGAGTCTACCCCTCCACTCTCCTCTTTGTATGGTCGGATCGGCTGGCACCCTACTGCTACACCTTCCCCTCCCCCCGGTTATCGCCCACGGCTGGCTGGTCCCCTCCTTACCTCCATAGTATTGTACTGCCTCCTTAGAGTAGGTCTGGGGAGGGCCCCCTATCGTAGCGTACTTTCGGCATCGCTTCCTGCTTAAATAAATAGACTCACCCTTTGGGGCCTACGTGGTTTGCTACTAACCTTTCTTTTGTCTTTTTGGGATTTCTCACCAGGTTTTCCTGGCCCTTCCTGCTTTCTTCTTAGTTAGGATTTCCTTGTTCGTCCCTCTAGCTGGGCTTGGGTTTCTTTTCTTTGAAGTGAGATGTACGGTTGGTTCCATACCAGAGGGGCTCGGGGGGTTGGCTGTTTTCCTGTAGTGAGAGGAGGGATATGGGTTTTTTGTCATTATAGCTAGCGCTTCATACGTTTTTTGTACCCTAAACCAATGATCAATAAGTCAAACAAAAAAAACAAAAACAAAAATCGCTAGCTTTTGAAATCATCAGCGAACGGAGAAGAGATCTCATCAATATATTCATTATCCTTTGATACATACTTTTGTTTCAAGCTTTCTTGACCACTCTCTGAGAAACCTTATTGGCCCCAGTTACAATTCACCTGACTTAGACTTGGCCGCCGCCTAACACTAACCCATGAATACTCAGGTATGTACCCAACCGCACTCCACATTACCAATGCTGAGCAGACCACCAGTTACACAAATCCCCACCAAAATAAATGAAACACTACCACCAGGAGCACCGCCCCGGTCTCGTAATCCGAAATAAATAAAAATCCCATACCCGACACCTTTCCAGCAACCCAAACAAGCATTCCAGTACAAAGACATTGGGTAGTATTCAGCATTGGTCAACTCCGTTAGGCCGCAATCCTCAGTAGCATCATCCCACACCTCACTCAGTCTCTCTAGGTCCAGAATCATAATCACCAACCCAGGCCACTCTGCGCTCAGCACCACTACTCCAAATCCAAACTCAGGATCCTACAACCAGGACCCCAACACACATCATCTGCCAAACAAAGTAAATATAAAGAGGGAACAAACACCCCCAACTAGCCACTCACAGTCCCAGCCAAACAGCTAAATCCACGAAGCAATACACCACCCTTAAGAACTCAATCCAGTAACCTCCCCAACCCCCTTGCCCAACAGCCAGTAACGACAGCTGCATATGCATCAGTTAGCCTATAGTAATGAGGGCCAGTGTTCCCAACTGGCTAGGTCAGTGATAGGCCAGCCTATAGGCCATAGGCTGGGCCAAGGCAGGCCGCTCTGACAATAAGCCTAGGCAGATATAGGCTAAACTCAACCAGCCTGCCAAAGCCTATCAGGCCTGGTAGGAGCCTACAGGCCTGCATGTAGGATTTTTAGAGCTGATTGTTTTAACAGTGGCTTGATTCTTTACAACTTTCATTGTGGTTTATTATTTTATCTATACCCTCACCTTTCAGTTGAAATATGATAACTATACAATTACCGATCCACGACCGGCTCAAAAAAGTCCAGAAAATCTACCTCCAGATTCTCCAATGCAGTCCTATCTCATGATTCTTCCTTCCGATTCAGTTTCCTCAGGAGGAATCCATCAGTGAATGTGCCTGCTATAGTTTACCGAGTTCTATTAGACCTTGAGGGTTTTCATCAACCACGAGCAAATCCATATTACTACCCACACATAGGATTAGTATCTAATAATATTAGTGATCTTACTGATACTCGTTCTATTCCGTTAACACCAATGGGTAGAATTTGTGTAAAGACTATATAACTTACGTATATTTTTCATGGGAGTAACTTGGACAAGTTTAGTGGAATAGGAGATGAGCCGTGCAGAAACCATGGATCTGAGGGGCTTGTAGGCCCGTATTCGTAGGCTAGGCGTAGTGTTGTTCACGAGCCGGCTCGAGCCGAGCCCAGACCTGGACTCAAGCCAGCTCGGCTCGCGAGACCCCTAGACTCGAGGGCTCGAGCCCAGGTCCCACCCAGACTCGAGGACTCGAGCCAGGCTCGAGCCACCAAGAGGCTTGAGTCTAAAGTGGCCACGATACCTCTACACACTGCCATTATTACTCAAATCAACCAAAAATTGTATATAGCAACTTGAAAACAAATACAACTAGCCAAATGACCTTCCCACTATCCCCGAGTCTAATTTCTGACTTGAGTCGGCTCGTGGACCCCTGTTCGAGCCAGCTCGCACCTAGTGACCACCTAGGCTCGAGTCCACTTCAAGCCAGCTCGAGCCTAATGACCACCTAGGCTCGAGTCCACTTGGCTCGAGGCCCCCCAGGCTCGAAGGGCTCGAGCCCGGCTCGGCTCGAGTCTGGCTCGAGTCCGCTTGGCTCGTGCACAACACTAGCTGGACGCGGCTTGGCTAGGCCATATAGGCCAGGCTGGCCTACCGGGTGGCAGGTACTTAGCCTATACGGCCTATAGCTGGGCCCGGCCAGGTCAGGCCCAGGCTTTTCAAAGCCTGCAGGCTCCGGCCGGGCTAAATCCCCCATAGTTGTGGCAGGCCTGGCCCGGCTTCGGCTTAGCCTGGCCTACCTGGCCTGTTAGGAACACTGACGAGGGCAAGACCTTACCACAACCCAACAGTCGTAAACCACTATCCGAATCATAAGCAAATAGGAAGTTATAATATGCCACTGAAAGGTGGGCCGGCTCCCAATAGTGAAACAGATCCTTGCAGCCACCTCCCCCTGCTGAGTACAGATCCAGTCTGCCAGACCAGGCGCCTCCACGGACCGCACCATGACATCTATCTAGCTATCCAGCTATATCAGGCGGAAGCTCAACCCAGATATAGGGCCTCTAAATATCCATAAGTCACCACAGCCAACTATGGTCTGTCCGTACTGCCGCAACCGTAACCACAGCCACACATATAAGCCATGGCCCGGGCCCACAGAGCCCACCGCTGGAATGACTAACGAAGGCCACAGAAAGCAGGCCAATTACTGAGGAAACATGGGGTGCAGGAGATTGTAATAGGCATCAAGCTCCAGGTAAGGAGGACAGCCTACGTGACATCTGGCAGAACGTTACTGGGTGGGACCCAAGCCTACCACCCTGAAGATGGAGACAGGGCCACTTCAGTCAACCAGAGCTATACCCAAAGAATCAGCCTACAGTCAACACACCAACCTATCCAAGCAGTACAAGCACAGGCAAGGAGGTAACGGTCTTTCAGGCCCAGGGAAACAGGCCTGAACCTGAGTAACTATGGCAATCAGCTTCAGAATAGTCGCGACCAAACTGAGCAGGCATCAGTCCAGCTAAGCGAGCCAAAGAATACCACACTTCTAATGAGTGTGATCACCAAGGCCCACTAACGCCCAACACAGCTGAGTGCATAGCCCCCATGCAAGGGAACCTAGTAGCCAATTACCCACTACTACCACAATCCAACCATAGAAGTCAAGAGTGGGTGGTAACTTGTCAGGGCCAAAGGCATCCCTACCCAATGGCAAAAATGTAGACTCATGCATCAATCAGACAGCCCACAAACAAACATTGCGGGGATGGTAATGAACAACATCGTAGGATTCCAACCTGGGATAGTAATTGACAGCTGGGTACACTCCAACCCAAGTTGGAGGGAAGACCTGACTGTAAAGACATGATACGATTGGTATGACAAGTTGAAATATAGGGCAGTCATCAATCGACTCTGAAGGTATTAGCTTGTTGCTAGTAACATTCGTAGAAACAACAAGCATTGGTATTGTCAGTTCCAACAACAGTAGAACTGCCTAAACCTTTTAGTAACGGCTGATCCTTCAGACCACATTCTCCTACTACCGATGCAAGAACGCAAAACCTGGTGCGTAAATGAGTACAGGAAAGCCGACAGGGTTTAACAAAGAGAAGGCCCATCAAGCAAGGAAGAGGCCATAAGCATAAACAAGTCACGAAAAGTCGATACGAAGGGAGCGAAGATGAGCACTACAAGCGACGAACCAAACAACAACTCCATCATCAACTTCAACTTCAGGGCTTACTGGGTGAACCCATATAGCTCACCCATCTGCGTCAAAAGAAAGACATTATTGTCACTGTGGTGGAATGAAAGCAAGAATGTAGGAAATAAACTAGAAGAATATGTAAAGAGCTCATACTCAAGGCCCTAGTGCCCCTTTATATAGTCGCTCTTTACCTGGTATGACTCATACCTTCCATCACATGAACCTTGTAACTCATAACCATGAGTCATGTGAAATCCCTCAGCTGACTTTTATGAGTTGCCATGCAATATACCTTATACCAATCAAAACTTAATAACCAAGTCAGGTGCGCAACTCACGTTACCTGAGTGAAACCCATAACTCATAGTTTGAGTCATGTGTGAAAGTCATAATATTGTATAACTCACAACTGTGAGTTACAAACAGATAAACATAATAACCTATGGTACACTAGTGTCCATCATGTGAAATCCAACATACCTATACCTCAGAATCCTGAGCTATGTAAAACCTGCCTTGCTTAGTCACAATTTGTAACAATATACATGACATTCTACAAGTACATCTATATCATGATAATATTGAGAGTAAGAACCTTAGTCTACAAGGTGTAAATACAGAAATATTGCAGCTGAAGTGTTGAAGATTTAGATTTGATAAGGATTGGAAGAACTAGTAGTAACTTTTTTTCAGGAGGGTTTAAGATAAATTTTTTTGTTTAGCAATAGAGGGTTTTGGGTTTTGGGTGGGTGGTTGCTGGAAGTGAGTGGTAGTAAATGGACAACAACCTTTTCTCTAGGTCCCGCCATATCGGAATGGGACGATCCAGAGTTGGTCCGGCGCAGCCAGACAGGGCCGGAGTGGGACCCTTTAAGATATCACGTGATAGATGCACCAATCGCTCTTGGCATGCCCATCTCATATTACCTCCGGGGGGATATCACCAATCCTCCGAGCTCAGCATCTACCACCCCTACAACAATGACAATATACTCCTTCTATATCTTTGACCGCCACTGTACGTTCCAGCCTTCTCCTCCCAGTCCAATCATGCTAACACCCCCCCAGGCGAGTGCATATACATCAAACAATGGCACCAACGAGACCGCACCTTCCGTCCAACCTCTTCCGCTACCTCGACAGTCGATTCGCCGGTCACCCTCTCCAGCGATAGGCATTCCGCCGCGGGCTCTAAGCTCCAAAACGAAGTTCACCCCTCTGGTCGCGGCGGGAGATTGAGTGTTCAGGATGATGCTAAGCTGGTATTTGGCGTGGTCTTCTCCCTGAGGAATATGGTGCGGAAGCTTTCGGGGCCGTGAGTTTACGCTTCTTCATACCGTTGGGGGGGAAGAGGAGGTACTGACGAGGGAGGCGGGGGACATGGATAGGGATGATTCGTTCATTTCGTATAGGACGGGATCATATAAATTACATTATTACGAGACCGCGACGAACTTGAAGTTTGTGCTGTTGACGGATGTCAAGACTAGTAATTTGAAGGTTGTTTTGCATCAGATTTACGTTAACTTATATGTGGAGTTTGGTGGGTTCTGCTACAACTATTCTGCCAGTATGGTGTGCTTATTGTTTATAGTTACGAAAAATCCACTGTCTCGTGAGTTTCTGTTGGATGATTCTATTTTTGTTCGGCTACTCGTGACACTAATCCTTCGTCACCAGCGATCGAGCACCCCGGAGGTGAAGGTGTCGCGGTAGAGCTATTTGAAATGGGACTTGATAGTTTTATTGTGAGTTATTGCACACTTCGTCGCGTAAGATCCTGGCTAACTCGGCTTGGAATAGAGAACAATACAGGATTGACCTAGTTAGACTGGGAGTCATTCCGCGATAGGATACACACGTTGAATGGGGGGCTCCGGGAGTCAATGAAATACTTAATAAGTGTCGTACGTGCGCATATAACCTACAAGTACCATGTCCCATTCCAAATGAAGCTCGTTAGGTCCAGTGGGCGGGGGATATCATGCATGGTTGTTTCTAGTTGAAGCATTGGAGTCTCCCAGAGGGTTTTTTTTATATGCGGAATAGATTTCAGCTATGGTGTCTATTCAAGCGGCCTACGCTCGGTGGTCATGGTGGGAGCAACATGTGATCCTTGGTATGATAGCATAAATTACCGGAAGCCACTTCCCGACCTACCGTAGTAAATTTTACTCCCCGGCACCTTAGCTTTCAGTTGTACGGTACTCGAGTACCGTAAATTAACTCCCGCAAGGATCCGGGTAACCCCCACAACCCGCTCTCCGCTCCCCTCTCCCAGCCTCATCATCTAGTCCCAGTCATTCAACCCCCACCCCGTTCCGCTTCGAAACGACTGGAGACAAAAAAAAACCCCCTAGCAGTGAGCTCTAAATAATGCCCTCGTTTAAGCGCTGTACCTAACGAGCGCATCTAGGAGCCGGAGCAGGATAGTCCAAAAGAATGTCTAGGGCCCACCCGATCCACATCCACCCCGTGCGCCCATTCTACGCGGTGTCAGCGAAACTGCTGGGTGCTTCGATGTGGTTTTTCTTGATGTATCGGGCCAAGAAGGATGGGGTTTGTTGGACCATGGGGTGACGTGGTGGAGTTTTTTATTTGCTTTGCTAACGGGATTATACTGTAGGCCGTGCTGCTGGGGTTGAAGCATCCTTGGGATCACTAGGCGGTGGCGAAGGGAGTTGCCCATCGGGATTGTACTGTACGGACTGGCTGGAGGGAGCGATGGATTTTGTTGATACTCGATCGAAGCTCGGTTTATGGGCAAATTGCTTCTATTTCTATTTATTTTGTCTTCTTTTTTCACTCGAGCATCATAATTTTACGGGCTTTCTTAAGTCGTTCTGGGGTCTGGTTTGCGATATCATAAGGGTGTCTTGAAGGGACTCCCTGGGGAGTTTCCATGCTTGGCGCTATGAATAGGGTATATTGGTATAAACGAGACCCAAGCCAGCGTTCGAGTTCCCTTGTATGATATGATACTGATGGTAGTAGCACACACCCTGATACCTGAATTACTCTACTTAGACCTGTCCCAAAAATTAGAAACGCTTGGTACCGCACGGGTTGGGAACAGGTCAGGTAGGATTTCCAATTTGCCACCAATAGAACTTCTTCAGTACTTGACCTTTGCCCTAAGTTTTCTCCGGACTGGACGGCACTCTACCCAATTTTTTGCGCTCAAGCCTCCTAACCTACCACCCCGTTAGCAAGAGCACTTCGTGCGTGCTGGAGGAAGGGAGTGCCGGTTCCATAGTGCCCTCGATTGGTCACCGGAGTTCCCCGGCGATTGCATTGGCACAGAGGGAGGGGGCCGGAGCATCATGTGTTTCAGGGCGAGAGTTGTGTCGAGAGAATCACGGGAGATGATGTTTGGGCAGTCAGCCAGCTCGCGGCGGATGCCTATGGCTGTAATTGGGGTGTTTATTGTACTGCCTGTTTAACCTATGGTGGTGCTTTTACTTGGAGCTAACCAAACTATTGACGAATGTCGAGTTTCCTAAATTTGGCCCTTTCAAGAGATCATACAATAGCAAATTCTCAGGTAGCTTGAAGCCGCTCTTGTTGGGATTATGGTCATAGTCCTAAAGGTGGTACAAAGGTATAGTGGAAGTGGACATTTAATGTCCTCAATCATAGGTTGAATTTTATGGCTTTTACAACAAGACTAGGCGGTATCATGTGAGTGTGGTTTTATTAGAACCAGCATATGGGCATTTTTGGTTGTCACCAGGGAAACAAGTTTGAAGTATTATAACCAAAGACAAATTTTCATTAGTTTTGTATGTGAAACATGCTATAGAGGTTGTTGGAACTTCTAGAATATTTTCTGAGCTATTAGGAGTATGCTCTAAAGGTCTATCTAGGTCATCAGCAAAAATTATTCCTGCGTCAGGTGCGTGCGCAGTGCATCCTGACGCAAGAAGAAAGAATTCTGCGTCCTGTGCGTCCTGTGCGTCTGGTACTCGGGCGCCAGGTCTGGTTGCGTCCTGTGTGTCTGGTACTCAGGCGCCAGGTCTGGTTGCGTCCTGTGCGTCTGGTAGCTGGGCGCCAAGTCAGGTTGCGTCCTAGTGCTCATGCTAGGAAGTGCCACATCCAGATTAAATCCTAAGCGATGCCAACTACTAGTAGTTACCATCCTGAGATTCCGAGTGATAAACACAGCTGCCAGCCGCTCCCCCTTAACCACCCACCTACCGCCTCCTCCCTACCGGCTCCTCCCCTACTGGCTCCCCCCCTACCGGCTCCCCCCTACCGGCTCCCCCCCTACTGGCTCAGCATCCACCCCTACTGGCTCCCCCCCTGCCAGCTCCCCAACATTCGGAACTTATTTGTTTACTTTACCTGGTTTGCCAAGTTAGCGAGCTTCTCATTAAGTGCTGACTTTGACGTGGGATTACTCCGGTGTTCTTCGGGCGTGGTATCCCATACTCAGGGCTCTGGTTCTGCGC